AAAAGCTGTAAAGACCGAATAATAGAAATATCAACACTTGTGATAACAATGTCATCGACATAAACCAGAAGAGCCACAAAAGAAACTCCAGTACCACGAGTAAATAAGGAGTAATCAGACTTTGATTGCTGAAAACCGAGGCTTATCAAAGCCATGGAGAACTTAGCAAACCATTGGCGAGAGGCTTGCTTCAAACCATAGATGGACTTGTTCAAGCGACACACCAAACGCTCCCCCTTAGGACAAACAATATGATTGGAAGGATGATAGCCAAGCGGTAAATCCATATAAACTTCTTCAACAAGATCGTCATGTAAGAATGTGTTATTAACGTCCAATTGTATTAACGGCCAAGACTTGGAAACAGCAAGGGTAAGGAGCACCTTGACAGTAACCATTTTAGCAACAGGAGAGAACGTTTCGATAAAATCAAGACCTTCCTGTTGAGTATACCCCTTGGCTACTAAACGAGCTTTATACCGCTCAATGGAACCATCTGAACGATGTTTAATMTTATAAATCCAACGACATCCAACTGAATGACGATGTTGAGGCAAAGATACAACAGTCCAAGTATTATTATCATTCATARCTTGTAATTCAACATTCATGGCATCACGCCAATGAGCAAATYCAACAGCTTGATGATAAAATTGAGGCTCRTAAGACGTAGAAACATTCAAAATGTAGGTAGAATAAGCAGATGAAAGCTTGGAGTAAGAAACATACTGCTCCAAGGGATGCTTAGTATATGTAATAGGTGAAGGTTGTTGAGCCAAGAGACTGCAATGAAAGTCACGCAAATAAGAAGGCGGTTTGGTGGTTCGAGTAGAACGTCGAGGGACCAAATTTGACGGATCAACAGAGGACTGTAAAGATGTATCAATAGGCTGCTGTACAGGAACAGAAATAACCTCATTATTATGAACCAAAGTGGAACCGACCTGTGGTGGTTCAACCATAGTGGAATGATCTCCTAAAACCGAAGAGTGATGTTCAAAGTCTGCACCAAGAGGATGCTGAGTGACAACAGAAGACTCTGGATGACCAATTGGCATTTCAGTATGAAAATCCACAACATTAGGAAGAACCAAATCAGGAAAAGGGTCCAACTCAATATCACAATCTGGAGTSGTCAGAAAAGGAAACTTGGTTTCATGAAACACCACATCTCGTGATATAAAAAATCGTTTCTCCTGAATATCATATAGCTTGTATCCCTTCATGCCAGGGGGATAGCCTAGAAAAACAGCAGGTCGAGCTCGGGGTTCAAATTTGGTTCGACGAGCATTCAAAGTGGATGCATAGCATAAAGAACCAAATACGCGAAGCAGAGAATAATCTGGATCAGACTGAAACAAAACGTGGAAAGGAGACTGCCACGCAAGGACAGGAGAAGGAGTTCTATTGATAAGATAAGTTGCTGTGAGAACACATTCCCCCCAAAATTTGATAGGAACCCGAGACTGAAAATACAAAGCCCGAGCAACATTCAGGAGATGCTGGTGCTTGCGCTCAACAACCGAAYTCTGTTGAGGTCTCTCTACACAAGAAAACTGATGCACTACTCCCTTAKAAAGAAAATACTC